ACGAACTTTATCTGAACAAAAAATGATTTGTCCCAGATCCCAAACAATGCCAATAAAATGTTCAGCACTATGGTATGTTTGACATACTATGAACAGTCAGCCGCCCTCACTTAATGAACAAACCAATTCCTTGAAATGTTCACGTCTGTAAGCGAAAAAAATCAACAAAATGTTCCTTTAAGACGTTGAACATCCATTACGCTTTGTTCAGATTGTTGAACCAACTCAAATGATAATAGGAAGGATGGAAAATGGAAATAAAAATCAGATATTCACAATATAGCGTCAGACAAATTTCGCTTTTTTATTTACATGTGTGTGTGTTGTGTGTGTACGTGTGTGTGAGTCTGAATGTATGTGTGTGTGTGTGTACTTGCATAGATGTTAGTGTCATTACTATAAAGTACTGTTTTCACTAGAGTTGATTTTGCTTTTAATTTCGTTATCACCATTCTTATTTAAAGTGTTATCGTCCATTTTAACATATAATGTGTCGTTATTACATTTTGTCTAATTTTCTTTGTTAAATAATTTGTTTCTACTTGTTAGTATTGGTATTATTGCTTTATATTGATTTATTTTTTGAATTAATTCTTTGCTTTTCTCGCGATGATTCTATTTGATATTAAAAACCCTTTATAAGAAAAAATGCATATGTTTTGTGAATCGAAATAAATATGTAAATATACCAGAATATATCTTATTGTAAATTTTAATGGTATATTTGATAATGCTAAATGTACGTATGTGTAGGTATGGATTTAGATATATTGGATTTTCTGAAACCTCTTTATCGTTCATTTATGGGCATTGTGTACGTATATGTTTTTATTGTTTTTTTTTTTTGTTTTAGAAAAGAAAAAAAAGTATTTTTTTTTTTTTTGTTATTTGTTTTTTCCCCTTATTGGTCATGGAGATTTTATTTCCATTCGTGTTTTCTTTCATTCCCTTGTTTCTCTCATTCGTTCTCCTTTGCATTCATACTTCCTTCATCCACTTTTCTCTCACCCACCCTTCGTTCTTCCTATATTCGCGTTTCCTTCATTTATTCTGTTACCTTCTTTCTGTTGTCCTCTCTCTTTCTTCATTCACTGCCTTTCTTTATCATCTCCTTTTACTCATTTCTCTCCTCTTACGTTCACTTTTTTTCTTCATTGTCTCCATTCACTCATTCGTTTTTTATTCTTTCTCTCCTCATTCTCTCTACTCATTCTCTTCTTTCATTGTCTGTTCATTCTTACCCTTCATTTTTTTTCTTCTTACATTCACTCTCCTTATCACCCTTCATTCACTCTTTATTCGCTCACCTCTTTCATTCACTTCATTCACTCCTGTGTTTCATGAACTTTTCCTGCATCCAAGTTTTATTCCCTTTTATTCCTACATTTACTATCTCCTTTCTCTCTCATCTTTCATTCACTCTCTCCCTTCGTTCTCCTCATCACTCTCCACTCTCTCCTTTTTTCTCATCTTTCATTCACACTCCTCTCTTTCTTATTTCTTCACACTCTCTCTCTTTCTTATTTTCCTTCACTCTCCCTTCATTCTCCCTCGTCCACTCTCTTCCTTCTTTCTAATCCTTCATTCACTCTCCTTCCATTCTCCCTCGTCCACTCTTTCTTTTTTCTCATCTTTCATTCACACTCTTCTCTCTTTCTTATCTTTCCTTCACTCTCTCCCTTCATTCCCCCTCTATGTACAGCTACACAGAAAAAAATATCGTTAGACAACGATCCTAAGCATTCTGACAGAAGCCGCGATCCTTTATGAAATATAGTTCTCAACGCTATGAAACTGTTGGTATCCCTGATTTTTATAACTATTTGTGTATGTGTGGCGTATTTTCTAACTATATTTGGATATGTGTGGCTTATCAGAATCTCTTGGATATGTGTGGCTTATCAGAATCTCTTGGATATGTGTGGCTTATCAGAATCTCTTGGATATGTGTGGCTTATCAGAATCTCTTGGATATGTGTGGCTTATCAGAATCTCTTGGATATGTGTGGCTTATCAGAATCTCTTGGATATGTGTGGCTTATCAGAATCTCTTGGATATGTGTGGCTTATCAGAATCTCTTGGATATGTGTGGCTTATCAGAATCTCTTGGATATGTGTGGCTTATCAGAATCTCTTGGATATGAGTGGCTCATCAGAATCTCTTGGATATGTGTGGCTTCAGAATCTCTTGGATATGTGTGGCTTATCAGAATCTCTTGGATATGTGTGGCTTATCAGAATCTCTTGGATATGTGTGGCTTATCAGAATCTCTTGGATATGAGTGGCTCATCAGAATCTCTTGGATATGTGTGGCTCATCAGAATCTCTTGGATATGTGTGGCTTATCAGAATCTCTTGGATATGTGTGGCTCATCAGAATCTCTTGGATATGTGTGGCTTATCAGAATCTCTTGGATATGTGTGGCTCATCAGAATCTCTTGGATATGTGTGGCTTATCAAGAATCTCTTGGATATGTGTGGCTTATCAGAATCTCTAGGATATGTGTGGCTTATCAGAATCTCTTGGATGTGTGGGCTTATCAGAATCTCTTGATGTGTGTGGCTTATCAGAATCTCTTGGATATGTATGGCTTATCAGAATCTCTTGGATATGTTGTGGCTCATCAGAATCTCTTGATATGTGTGGCTTATCAGAATCTCTTGGATATGTGGGCTTATCAGAATCTCTAGGATATGTGTGGCTTATCAGAATCTCTTGGATGTGTGGCTTATCAGAATCTCTTGGATGTGTGGCTTATCAGAATCTCTTGGATATTATGGCTTATCAGAATCTTTGGATATGTGTGGCTTATCAGAATCTCTTGGATATGTGTGGCTTATCAGAATCTCTTGTAAGTTGGCTTATCAGAATCTCTCTGGATATGTGTGGCTTATCAGAATCTCTTGGATATGTGTGGCTTATCAGAATCTCTTGGATATGTGTGGCTTATCAGAATCTCTTGGATATGTGTGGCTTATCAGAATCTCTTGGATATGTGTGGCTTCAGAATCTCTTGGATATGTGTGTTATCAGAAATCTCTTGGATATGTGTGGCTTATCAGAATCTCTTGGATATGTGTGGCTTATCAGAATCTCTTGGATATGTGTGGCTTATCAGAATCTCGTAAGGCATATCCACATCCCTTACGGAAATAAGATCTATATGAATTCCGGAACGACTGTCCGAGACATGAATCAGAACGAAGCAAATTCGAAATCCAAAATTACCAACCTTTCCATATTCTTCCACTTGATCTAATCCCCTCCCTTTTATCCTAACTTAATCCACTCACTCACCCCTTCACCTTTACCCAACTATATTAATCCTCTTAAGTACCATCGTACTACTCCATAACCACTAACGTATAACACCTTACTAACAACCCATCCCTATCTCTACCCTTTCCAGTTAATTATATCTCCTATAGTGCTATATGACCTCCGATGTCTAGCACCTCTAACCAATAACTTAACCCTTCCGTTAAGTTATTGTTTGTTGAAGGTTTCGACACCGCACCTAACGATTGTTTTCTGCCTTGGGAACCTGTTCTCCTTCCTCAGACGCATAAATACCCTTCACTTGATCTAACTCCCTTACCTAAACCACCAAACCTTTCCCTCAATCTTCAACCTTTCAACACTACTCTAGATAGTTGACACATAGCAACTATCACCTGACATCCCCCTTTACTATACCTTCCTATAGTGCTATATGACCTTAGATGACTAGCACATTTATCTTAACCATTAACCATTAACGATTGTTTTCTGTGTAGCTGTACATTAACTCTTAATTCAGTTTTTCTCATTCCGTTTATATTCTTTGTTATCATATGATTTTTATATTTTTCTAACTGCATTGTTATTCTTAGTTGTGAATATCATTTCCATAATTAATTGCAGATCAAATACCTACCAATATATTGCGCAGAAAGAAAAAAATGGATAACTAAAGGTAAAATAGATGTCGAGATATATGATTACTTATATGAAATATGAAATAAGTAAAGAAAAAATATGTAATGAAATGATGATGAAAAACCATGATAAAAACGATAAAAAGTTCCTATTATCCTTCATTTTTTTTTTTTTGGGGGGGGTCAATAACATCAATTAGTGAAATTGCAGTTTCTGAATTGTGAATTCGCTATCACTATGTGACAAATAATGATAATGATGATGGTGAGTTGATAATGATATTAATAAAAACAACAAGAACAACTTGATGATATAAAAAAGTTTATTTAAAAAGTTTATAAAAATAATAAAGAAAATAGTGATGATTGTAAAAATAACGATTGATAGAAATGATAGTAACAATGGTAATAGTGATAATAATAATAATGACGATAACTATTAGTGATAAACCATAAATAGTATAATATTGATAAATAATAATAACAATAATAATGATAATAATGGTAATAATAATAACAATAATAATAATAATAATAATGGTAATAATGATAATAATAATGATAACGATGAAAGGTAATGAATGATGATGATCAAAATAAAATAATAAAAAATAATAATGATGTTTAATAATGATAATGATACTAGTCATAATAACAGTGATAATGAAATCAGTTGTGTGATGAATAATGATAGTAATAATGATTATAATGATAATAGTAAGAATAAAAATAATTTTGATAATTCTGAAGACAATGATGATGAAAATAATGATGACAATGATAAGGATTACAATAATGATAACAATGATGACGATAATGATAATAAATATGATAATGATAGTCATACCAATGATGACAACATCAATGACAATAATAATGATATAAGTGATAATAAAATGGAAATTATGATAATGATAGTAACAACAATGAGATAATAATGATAGTAATAAAGATAATAATAGTACTAATAAAATCAATAATAACAGCAACCATATGTAATTATATGTGTAAATGCGTGTATGTATACCCAGAAAGACTTCTTTTATGGATTCCACATTAATAGAAACGGTAGGAATTATACACATATCATTACAATTATCATTATTCACTGATATACAAAATTGACAGTTTCTTCCATGTCGTTACTGAAAACTGAAGCATCCAAAACATAGATGGCGCTGATGCATGGAAGTTTTATTAACAACTCCTTGCTTTCCAATTACACATTCCTCGTTTTGTTTACGCCAAGTTGACAGTTCGGCAGAGGTCTGGGGTTGTGAGAATATAGATAATTTGTACGAAAAGGATTCTATAATTTGAAATCATGCCTCTTGGTGAGTTCTGAAGGGGGGGGGGGTTGAGTATGTATGTTCGGTATTTCTTTACAATCCCCAACTTCACGTCGTAAACATCAGCAATATAAATTCCCGTGATTGAGCGGCCACTGCGCCCCCCCCCTCCCTTGAAACATTATCTTCACTCCCGGTATTCACAAGATAAGAGCTGAACCTTGGGAGCACTTGGACTAAGAGCGGCATTTTCCACGAT